CCCGCGTCTCGGTCCGGTCAGCGACACGCACGTCCGTCCCATTTAAACACCTTTTATTTCCTCCTTTTCATAAAAATTTATAATAGCCTTCCTCTTACATCGTATACAAAATATTTACTCTACTGAATAAATAAAACGTGGACATCTCGCAGACAGTGTATGATCTCAAAAGAAAAAACAGCATCCATCCATCCTTCCCTCACAACAGTCTCACATTAAAGACATTTTCCCTTCTCCCCACCTCAACTCGCAAAACCCCCACCTCAAAAAAGGAGAGGAGAGGCACAGCACGATTCACCCGTGAGAAGAAAGCAGAAGCGCACCCTCTACCTGAAACACAAGAGGTTGTGGCACGCCCCTTGAAGAGCTTGAACCTGTGCTTGGACACTGTGCAGGACGATCAAGCCCTAGGGAGATTACTACGTTCACACACGTTATAGCAGTAACAGCACGTAAGGGGTGCGCTTACCTTCCCCAGAACATGCCCGCGTCCCTTGCTGGTCTGTGTGAGATCGTGACACACAAACTGTTTAGTGGAAGCACACTGCGTTAGCCAGAAAGCAGAGCCTGTACAGAGAGAGGAGTTTCTCAACAGACGCTCTGGAAAATGCTCCTGTCAGCCCCAGCGACAGCCTGGACTAGGAAGAAAGGCTTTTGGTAACAAGAGAGCACATGGACAGGGCCACCACAGTGACAGCAGATGCAACGACCCTTATGGGTCTGGGGTAGGGAGCCGCTGACAGCGCAGCTGGGGACCTGAGCTCAGACTTCACAGCAGCTCCCACAGCATGGCAGGGCCGTGCTGGCACGAGGTTGCAAGCACGAAGGGTTATGAAGTGCTTTAGGGACGTGGCAAGGCCACGCGGGGCACGCTCCCCCCATCAGGGCAGAGCCAGCCCAGTTCCAGCCGTGTCCCATACCAGTCCCTCCCATTGCTACAAACCTCAGATTTCCCCTGAAGCCCTGCTCCCTCCCTTGCCCTCATCTCTCCCTGTTCTCCCCCGAGACTGCTGCCCAGTCTGCCCTTCCCGCACGGAGCTGCTCCCCTTGTTCCCGGCTGCCCACGCCCACCCAGGACCTGACCGCAACGGCCGTGTCCTGCACCCCTCCTCTCCCACCAACAGCCACGCTCTCAGGGCAAACGGCCCAAATCTGTTTGGGCTTGAACTCCCACAGGGGACGGGGTTAGCGCAGACAGTTGGGTTTTGGCAAAGGCTCCTTCCTGCACCCATCTCCCCACTGTGTCAGCAGCTGGCAGAGGGCCCAGCAGACTCCTCCTGGTGTAAAGAAGGGAAGGAGCAATTACTGAATTCACTGGGTTTCACTCCAGATGGAGAAATGGGAAGAACGGAGGGGAGAAATCAAAGCATCTCTTGGTGGATAATCAAGTCGCTTTTCTCATACTGGCTGGACTGGATAAAACTCGAGCAGTGTGGCCAGAGGACAAGTGGACAAGGAGGCCCTGGTTCAGACTGGATCGCATCTCTCCAGCTGGGACGGAGAACGAGCTCTGTTACCAGCCCTGACCGAAGCGAGGTGACGGGCGCCTGTCTGGGGCGCAGCAGCAAAGAGCAAGAGCAGCTGGTGCAGAGCCACACGCTCAGTCGCTCAGCGGCCTTTTCTGAACATGAATGAAGTAAACGCAGGCACCTCCCTGGAAGCACATCTGAGTTATGAGAAAACTGGACAAACGCAGCCTGCCCTCTCCTAGGAGATCAGAGCCAGCAATCGGGATGCAGACACCGGGTTTGCCAAGGGTGCCAAGGCTGTGGCCCAGCAATGAAGGGGATGGGAGAACAGGGAGGCCAAAGGCATTGATCTGCCACTGAGGACAGGTCTGAGACTCGACCTGCGCTAATCCCAATCCTCAGCCAGGGCAGAGCCTGCTGCTCGTGAGCCCAAACCTCCTCATGCCCACCAAGAGCTGCACCAAAGCCACCGCAGCGATGGAGGGCAGGTCAGCAGGGGAAGCTGGCAGGACTCAGCCTTCTCCTCGTGAGGGACAGACACGAGTTCAGGATCACGAACTGCAGCATCTTGTTCTTTCAAAGACCATTACAACAGGGCTGTCTCCCCGTCCAGCCCGCTGCTTTTTCAAGGAGCACTTGGATGCCTGTAATGAAGAATTCAAGGCCTTCATCGTCAAACCTGCACACCTGAAGTCTGCTGTGGAAGTACTCTTTAGGCACTTAAACAAATGGCTCAATTATCAGAAGCACTTAGCATGGTAGCAGCCTCCATGTGTGAAGGTTCCCCACATTTTATGTAAGAAAAAAAGAAAAGTAAAGGATTCTTCAGCAGTCAGGTAGGGACCTGTTTGAAAAATGTTGGGTCAGAGGTTTCTGATCATCAGGAGCATTCACTCAAGAAACACCCCGCCTTTGGCAGTAACATTTCCCTCAGAGACGTCCTCCTGAGGCCTGAAGTGGACAGAGAGCAGGGTGGGAAGTACAGACAAGAACTGTTTCC